CAAATGATGTAAAAAAAATAAAATGATGGGTGCTATGGTTTTTGGAAAATCCCTCACAATTAAAATTATAATGGACTGTCCATTGCAGTTACACCGTTGTAAAGTTTGAATTCAAAGGAATTGAGGTCAGTTAAAGCTTGCCCAAAACACACAAAGGAAATTATTGATATTGTAGCATTCTGGAGATATTTTGTTTAAAATGTAAAGGGTGCATATTTTTGATTTCTCAAAAGAAAACATTTAAAGTCTTATTAGTGTGGTAAATAGAAATGAGAAGTTTTAAAAACTGAAGTGTGAATGTGTAGACAAGAAGAATAAACAGCAGAATCATTCCCAGTCAAAAGTTTCGTCAGGTAAACAACTTTTTACATACAATATTATTGTTTATTTTATGCAGGAAACTGTTTAGTTTTTTGACAGTAAAAATATGAAGTGGTATTGTATAAAATTGTGTTTTAATATTTGTTTTGTTTGTAACTTGACTAAAAATGAAAGCTGCATGTACAATGGTACATATAAAGAATGTAGGAATATAAAGAATGTAGGAAAGATCTTCATCATTTCTTAAATACAATAATGTTAGAAATTTTAAGTTTTGAGAAAAATTATAGAAATTAATCAGTAAGTACAATATCATTATGTAAATATTACATCAATCAAACTATAGATAACCTGAGGTACCTATTACTACAACTTTCATGGCTATAAACAATTTCCCTTGTGTGTCACATGTGGAGCAGATTTAACAGTAAACTGATTTATTAGTAGGTTTCATTCCTTCATTGTTGTAATTCAGCTTTCATGGTGGCAGTAGATAATTATATAACCATAACTAGACAGTCTAGAGTAACATGCTATTAGGAGAAATGACAGTTCATAACAAAAACAGCATTAAATAAGAATTATTATTTTGCAGACAACAAAGCAATGAGGAGCAGCCTGGAGCAACACATTTGATCTTCAGTGGCTTTTACAAAGGTATCTTGTTAATTCAAAGTTATTTTAGAATTAATAGGAAAGAAGTGTCACAGTACCAATAAGACACTTTTCAGTTCTTGATAAAAATAGCTATTAGTCACTATTTACAAACCTACTTTAATTCAAACTCTTTATGACACTTAAATTTGCATTTACATTTTTTTTTTACAAATTTTAGAGTTTTTGTACATTTTAGCTTGAAAATTTTTTCAAATATTTATCCTGATGGAAGGTTCGTTAAAAACTGAAACTGGGAAGATTATTAATTACTCAATCTGCACTGGTGTTGATGTGTTGTATTTCTTTATTTCTTTCTTATTTTAAAAAATTTAGAGTTGTATACATATTACCAAGGTCTTATAAAAGTGTTTTCATTTTCTGTCTTTACATATTAGATATTGATAATCATTTTTCTGTCTTACTTATTTGATATTGTTAATAATAATTTTAGGACCAAGTGATGGCAGAACTGAAGCCTATGCCTCATCAAAAGAGAAAGGTACAGCAAAGCTCTTTCAGAATGCTATATTCAATATAGAAGAGATTAAAGGCCGCTCATTGTTTGGTATGAGGAAAGGGAACAGAGAGTCTGACGCCAGACCTTCTTGTGCAGACAAGGCAAAACTTAAGTTCTTGGAAGGTAACTAATGAACTGAATGAAAATATCATTTTTGATTCTGCGTATATTTTTCTGCCTTGGAGTAAATAAGAAAAGTCTGATTCTTCCACGTCTGCAGTGCTGTTTTTTTAAAGTGTTTTAATCATATCTATGCACACTCAAATTGATATAGAAATATCCAATAGTCATATAAAATGTAAGCTTATGTTTTTAATTATTGTATTAATCATTCATAATTTTTTTTGTTTTAGATTGTGCGCTCGAAAAGTTGCCGACAACCTAAAGGACTGAACTCAACCGTCCAGGAATAGCAAGATAAATGAAGAAAATAAATGGACTAATGTTTTGCTATTTTTTGAGACAAATATATAATTTCATATGGAAAACATTTAAAAAGGATTATTTTTATAAATTTGTTTGTTTCCAATTTAGGGTACAGGGTGACTTTCAAAGCAGTTTCCAGCTATTGCCACCCACAGGTGGAAATTTTCTGAAAGGGTGAAAATAGGTGGCATTTAGTGGAAACTGAATTTGCCACTATCTGGTGGCAAAATGGTGGAAAAGTGTCTAAATACTCCACCAATTTTCCACCCTTATGGTGGCAAAAGGTGGAAATAAGTGGCATTTGGTGGAAAATAAGTTTGCCACTCAATGGTGGCAATAATGGTGGAAATTTGTCTAAATACTCCACCAATTTTCCACCATTATGGTGGCCATTAGTGGAAACAAGTGGCATCTAGTGGAAAATGAGTTTGCCACCCTAAGGTGGCATAATGCTGGCATTATGGTGAAAGTTTGTCTAAATACTCCACCAATTTTCCACTCATTGGTGGCATTTAGTGTAAAAAAGGTGGAATTAACTGGATAATTATATAACATCAGTCCTGCTCAAATTTTTCACCATTTTCATGATTTGGGTGGCTTTTGGTGGCGTTTTGGTGGCATTATTGGTGGAAAATTGTCTAAATACTCCACCATTGAAAAGGGTGGCATTTTAGTGGCAAATCTAGGGACGGGCAAGTTATGCTCCGGACAAGGAAAATGCAAACCAACCGACTGACCACCAAGTGACTCCTATATACCTCCCCCCCCAAACTTCTTTTCGGGGGTAAAATAACAAAGTTATGACAATTAAATCAAATTTCAATAATTTCATTTCAACATATGAGTCAAGGTCATATTAATATAAAGCAACATATTGGATTTGTCATATGTATTCTTTTGTCCAAAGATACATTAGATCATTCTCTAAATAAAGAAGTTTCATTTAAGAAAATTTAAGAAAATTTTGATGATTTGTACTAAAAGGGTGGTCAAATTGGATCGCTTTAATCATGTACGTTTCTTGTCCAAATATAAATCAAATCTGTGATGATATTAAAAATTTAGATAATTCAAGAACCTTTCCTATTTTTGGTCATTTACAGGTCCATACAAAATTTTTCATGAACTTATGTCTTGTGTGATGGATTGTTATGCTAAGGTATGAAGACATACAAAGACTTAAGTTATAGCCAATTATAGCAAAACAAAGGTCAAGATAATTATGATTCAAGGTTAAATTGAGTTTGAATTTCTTTGAGATATTGCCCTTAAAGTATTCATAAATAAAGTTTTAGCCAACTAACAAAAAACAAGCAAAATTAAACAAGAGGGCCATGATGGCCCTGAGGTTGCTCACTGTATAAAGGCCCCACCCACCCCCCCCCCCCCCCCAATGTTGCAGGGCCAATTTAACCCAAGGGCTTTTATTTGCAAAAACTTGATAGACACCCATAAGAAGATGTTTCATGCTAAACATCTAAGCTCTAGCTCATTGGGTTTTTTAAAAGAAGATTTTTTTAAAGTGTTTACTATACACATATAGTTAAAAACAATGACACCCCTGGGGCCGGGCCAGTTTTGACCCCAGGGCTTTTATTTGAACAAACTTTGTAGACACTTACTAGAAGATGTTTCATGCTTAATATCTAAACTCTAGTTATTTGAGTTTTTTCAAAGAAGATTTTAAGTTTTTGCTATACACATATAAAGAAAATCAATGACCCCGGGGGCGGGGCCAATTTTGACCCCAGATCTTTTGTTTAAACAAACTTTGTAGACACTCACTAAAAGATGTTTCATGCTTAATATCTTAACTCTAGCTATTTGGGTTTTTTCAAAGAAGATTTTTTAAGTTTTTGCTATATACATATAAGGAAAATCAATGACCCCCGGGGCGGTGCCAATTTTGACCCCAGGGCTTTTATATGAACAAACTTGGTAGACACCTATTAGAACATGTTTGATGCTAAATATCTTAGCCATAGCTCTTTGAGTTCTTTAAAAGAAGATTTTTTAAGTTTTTACTATATGCATATAGGGAAAATCAATGACCCCCGGGGCGGGGCCAATTTTGACCCCAGGGCTTTTATTTAAACAAACTTGGTAGACACTTATTATAACATGTTTCATGCTAAATATCTTAGCTCTAACTCTTTTGGTTCTTTAAAAGAAGATTTTTTAAGTTTTTACTACATGCATATAGGGAAAATCAATGACCCCCCAGGGAGGGGCCAATTTTGACCCGAGGGCTTTTATTTGAACAAACTTGGTAGACACCCATTAGAACATGTTTCATGCTAAATATCTAAGCTCTAGCTTTTTGGGTTCTTTAAAAGAAGATTTTTTAAGTTTTTACTATATGCATATATGGAAAATCAATGACCCCCCGGGACGGGGCCAATTTGACCCCAGGGCTTTTATTTGAACAAACTTGGTAGACACTCACTAGAAGATGTTTCATGCCAAATATCTAAGCTCTAGCTCTTATGGTTTTTTAAAAGAAGATATTTAAAGTTTTTTCTTTCGGTTGCCATGGAAACCAGAGTTCTGCATGGAATTAAATTCTTTGAACAATTTTTAAAGGTGACCACCAAAGGAACATTCCTGTGAAGTTTGGATGAAATTGGCTTAGTGGTTTATGAGGAGATGTCATTTAAAGAAAAAGTTTACGGACGCCGGACGGACGGACGATGGACGGACGGACGCCGGACGAAAAGTGATCATAAAAATTAGACATTCAGGGTCTAGGTCATTTATGAGACTAGGTCAAGTTCATTTTGGTTTACTTTATGAGACTAGGTCACGTTCAGTTTGGTTTACTTAAATGTTTTCTTCAAGAATTGTGTCCAGGTATAAAGATAAAAAATTAAAACAATATAATATTAACAATATGACCAATGTTTAAGTTTTTACACAGCAACTGTAACTAGAACATCAACCTAACTGTAGCAATCGGGCGATAATTTTCTAAGAAAAAGACGAACTTACAAAATATTTATATTCTATTTTCACTGCAGTAATATATTTTGTTTTAACTGTATCGGTACATCATTTTTGTAATAAAATAGAAGCTATATACCTGAACTAATAGAAGATACTGCAACTGTCTCCATCTTCAATTTTTCTGCCTCAGATAAACTGTTTATCACGGCATTGTATAAATCTGTTTCACATTTCTCAACATCTCTCTGTAAAACATATCAAATATTTGGAAAGTGAATGAAAGTGCAATATGTGTGCATACATGCAATGAAATATTCAAATTTATATTTCAAATAAAAGTACATGCAGACAGAGACACTAAAGAACAATAATCAACAAGAGCTGTAGGACAGCCTGTTGACTCTTCCGGGTGCTTGATAGCAAAACATAAGAGCCCTTAGGTATTGTAAAATTTTAAGTTTAACCCGTTACCTCATATAATGACTTGTTTTCCAATGTGGCCATACCACGTGACTTTTCGGGTACGGAACACGCCGATTTTTCTCCCGATTCAGGTATGTTTTTTATTCACAACTTGTTTATTACTCAACTGATTTTGATCAGATAAGGCGCAGAGTACCCGTAATTATATCAGCTATCCACGGTATATCAAAATTCTGAAAACCCCTGAATGGTTTTTGAGAACATTCGAGTACAGTTTTCTTTTCATAGCCTGGGCCGAGGGGAACGGTACACACTCATTTGTCATAACAAGCAATTTCTAGCAAGTCATATGTTTTTTGACACTATTTCATAGAAAAATACATGTTAAATCTGATATATTTACTATGTCCAACGTTTCGAGTGAATGCAGTGATGTTTTAGCATATTTTCATAAAGTTATGTTGAAATGGTACGGAACACACTGTTATTTCAAAAGATACGGTACACACACAATTTCTGTCTTTGTAATAATTCTAAAATAAAATAATTATATTAAAATTTAATTTGAATTATAATGTGAGTGATTTTTTCATAGTTATACATTTTATTAATTTAAACGAGAACCCAGGGACCTGTTTTGCAATGTATTGTAATGCTTACTTTTAATGTTTATATGTATTTGTGCACTATATTTAAAGAGATCGCGATTAACATTTACAACCTCCATGTAATTCTCCTATTTAAAATCACCTAGGGTATGTTAAACACTTCGATCTTCACAGAATCAGGTAGTTGTGCTCTATTGAAAGAAAATGTTGTTATATAATGCTGTTTTTATTGTTGTTTATTGTTGTTTTCTATTTCTTTTAGTTTAAGTGAAGTAAGATATTTTTTGCTTCATCCTGAAAAAATAAAACAAGGTCATGACCTAAATCGCTGAAAAGTATCATTACTTGATAACAATTTATATATATTTATATTTTGTTAATAAAAAGCAAGTCATTAGGTACATTTTGCAATACCATGGTCATGTTTAATTAAATCAAATCACAGAAGGCGCTGAATTTGTTTTGGTCTCAGAATGTCAGAAAGGTGAAGGCTGTGAGATTGTAAACCAATTTGTTTTTGTATAGTGCCACCAATGTTGTTTCTAGTGTCATAACTGTAGTAAATTGGCTATAAGGCTTATTGCAACACTGATATGTAATTCATTGTTTATTTGGCTTAAACAATTAAAAACAAAAACAAAAAAAACATGAGTTGCCTTAACTTGGATTTGAACTCAGAAAATCTCTCTTCCTAAACGAGCGTGTAACCCCTCGACCACGGGGAAATTATAAGATAACAGCCTGAAGAAAACCATATCATTCTAAATTAGGGTTTGTAACCCTTATTAATTTCGTTTGACACTGATGTAAATAATCATGGAGCTTAATATTACATGTATATCTGTAAAGAATTACACAATATTTGAAATCTTTGACCAATCGGGAACTACTTTTTCTTCTCCCGAGAAGGTTTGAAAATTAATGCGCCCATCATTTGACAATCTTAACACAGTTATCCCCCCTTATTTTTTCAGCGTTAGAGTACATATAAAGGTAAGTAACCGCTTCCAGGGGTTCGGACTACTTTCTTATTTTGCAAATAAGCATATCAGAGCCTGAAATTTCGCTACCATTGTTTGTTTGGTCTGACGACCCAAACAAATAAAAATGTAGTCGCCATTGCTTAAATTTTTAATGTCTAAAGGCATGAAGCTTTAAAAATAACTTTTAATTCATGTAATTAGGTCATTTTTGGTTTGGTTTCACGGCTCATAAAACTGACATTATCATGTGGCGACTTTCGAGTTTTACAAGTGCCCCTTTGGGTATAAATAAACAAGCAAATTCGTTGAATTTATATCCCCCGCCGAGTACTGGTTATTATTAACACAACAACTGAAGACATAAGGCTTTTTTTATATATTAATCATGGCATAAACTGTAATATTCTTTGAACTTGAAGCCTTGTACCTTCAAACAAGAAGAATTTTTAAGTTTTCACTATATACATATAAGGAAAATCTATGACCCCCTGGAGTGGGGCCAATTTTGACCCCAGGGCTAAAATTTGAACAATTTTGGTAGAGGACCTATAGGTTATATCATATACCAAATATCAAAGCTCTAGGCCTTGTACTTTCAGACAAGATTTTTTAATTTTGCATTTTTGAAACTCCTTTTCTGGCCCTGTGACCTACTTATGCAACAGACCGGAACCATTTGATCAACTTTGGTAGGGGACCACCCTAGGATCATTCCTGTAAAGTTTGGTTGCTGTGCAGTCATTTGTTTCTGAGGAGATGTTGTTTAAAGAAATTGCTGAGGACGCACGAAGACGGGCGGTGGGGGATCACAATAGCTCACATAGATGTAAAAACATCTTAATCTCCAGACTTCATTGCCATTTTCAAGGCATCAAGAAGGGATCTCACAATTTTCAAATATTTTTAAATGTTATTGTTTAAATGTTTAAATCATTATTCCTGTAATTTAGTGATGTTGATCATTATTCCTGTTAAGTTGGTTGATTCTAACTCAAGCACTCAAGGATCAAATAACAACATTATGAAACAGTTTTTACTAAGTCAAGGGAAATAACTCTACAAATACTGGATAAATCCACAAGCGAAACCCCAGGAACAAACTATATAAGCTGAGCAACTTTCCAATAAGGTTTAATGACCCTATGTCAAATCCTTTTTGAGTTACATGCGACACATGTTGAAAATTGCAAACAAGTCAAGGGCAATAACTCTAAAAATACTAAATAAATCCAGACGAAAATACCCAGGTGCACAACTACACATGCTGATCAACATTCCTGTAAAGTATCATGACTCTAGATCAAATACTTTTTGAGTTACATGCGACACAAGTTGAAAATTACAAAATTTTACTAAGTCAAGGGCAATAACTCTAAAAATTCTAAAAATATCCAGATGAAAATACCCAGGTGCACAACTACACATACTGATCAACATTCCTGTAAAGTTTCATGACTCTAGGTCAAATACTTTTTGAGTTACATGCGACACAAGTTGAAAATTACAAAATTTTACTAAGTCAAGGGCAATAACTCTTAAAATACTAAAAATATCCAGATGAAAATACCCAGGTGCACAACTTCACATGCTGATCAACATTCCCATAAAGTTTCGTTAAAATTCCAGGCATTAGTTGCATAGAACTACTCCGGAAACGAAATTCGGACAAAATTTTACTGAGTCAAGGGCAATAACTCTAAAAATTCTAAAAATATCCAGATGAAAATACCCAGGTGCACAACTTCACATGCTGATCAACATTCCCATAAAGTTTTGTTGAATTCCAGCCATTAGTTGCAGAGAACTTCTCCGGAAACGAAATTCGAAGGACGGATGGACGGACGGACGGACAACGCCAAAACTATATCCCCCTCCCGATTCCATCGGCGGGGGATAATGAAGGAACGGGCACCTGAGTAAAACGACCGACGTTCTGTACAGTAGTAAGAAAACTTTCTAACAAAAAAAATCGAAACAACGAAGACACTTGTGGTCTCGTACCTACTTCATGTAGTATATAAAACAGAACGCAGCCTCCAAAAACCATAGCATTTGATTGACAAAATGGGTATTATTAAAATATCATTTTATTTTTAACGCAAACACGCAATCACACATATCCATGAACTCAAGTGTTAAATGCATCTTGAAATGAAAGTCCAAGATAGGCATAATTTTACCAAATTTCCTAACATGTATATCCTTACATGTATATGTAACATTAGGTTACCGTGTATAAACTACGTTACGTTATATAACAGGCCTTGTTCCCATATGGGTTCTTCAAATTATCAAATTATTAATTTTGATTGCACGTAAAACTGCGAAATATATTTGTCCATATGTAGATACATGTAATTTGATAATTTAGATACATGCAGTTAGTTTGGGACCCTGGCAGATGATTCATACCAAATACCATGTGGCCGAAAAAAACTTTAAACTTTCCGTGATTTAAAAAAATCCACTTACATCAAAACCAGCGTTTTTTCTCCAACTTTTAAATTAAACAATAATTTGCAAGGAACATATATTTCCAACTTACTCCTAACTTCTTGTTTGTTTATATATTCATACTTCGTTTAGACAGTCATTAAACAAATTAAATGAAATAATAATCGCACATAACAGATGTCCATGAATTTCACAATTCGTTTTATAATCCAAAAGAATATACCTAATTGTTTTAAATGAAAATCAAAACAAAACAAAATTTTGAATGTCTTCCGTATCCCTTCCTAAAATTTTAACATTTTAAAGCCAAATAGTAATTGCTCAACATATAAAATCGAATTTTGCGCAACGTACTCTCAAAATGTTCTTTTATTTTTTGAATAATCCTGTTTACATCAAACTGTAGGCATAATGATACTTTGCAGAACAGGTCCCAGGGTTCTCGTTTAAATTAATAAAATGTATAACTATGAAAAAATCACTCACATTATGATTTAGATTAATTTTTTTTATATATTTTATTTTAGAATTGTTTCAAAGACAGAAATTGTGTGTGTACCGTATCTTTTGAAATAACAGTGTGTTCCGTACCATTTCAACATAACTTTATGAAAATATGCTAAAACATCACTGCATTCACTCGATACATTGGACATAGTAAATATATCAGATTTAACATGTATTTTTCTATGAAATAGTGTCAAAAAACATATGACTTGCTAGAAATCGCCTGTTATGCCAAATGAGTGTGTACCGTTCCCCTCGGCCCAGGCTATGAAAAGAAAACTGTACTCGAATGTTCTCAAAAACCATTCATGGGTTTTCAGAATTTTGATATACCGTGGATAACTGATATAATTACGGGTACTCTGCGCCTTATCTCATCAAAATCGGTTGAGTAATAAATAAGTTATGAATAAAAAACATACCTGAATCAAGTGAAAAATCGGCGTGTTCTGTACCCGAAAAGTCACGTGGTATGGCCACATTGTTTTCACGGCTATCCCCCTTCCCTTTTTAACGCCTCAGTGAAAAAATTTAGGCCCTAAACACAGTTCTTTCGTTTAAGAAATGTTGATAAAAAAGTGATCACTTTGTTCACGCTGCCCCCCATTAAAAAGGTACATCTGAAGGGGTTGCAAGAAGGGGGATGTGCCTGCCTTCTGTTTCAGGGGTTTGAAGGGGGCAATAGCCCCCCTCTTTGCCAAGAAATTTTGGGTATGTGCCAAGTTTATCAGTATTGAAGCATTTTTCATAGTGTCATAGCAGTTTGAACTTGTAAAGTCAGGAGGCTTTTCAATGAAAACAGCCATTTTTCACAATAAGCTCATGCAGTAAATGATTAAACATTTGAGCCAGGTGGTGCTCCCTGAATAGATTTTGGACACAGGAAAGTACACCTCTTGTGGTTTCAGAGTTATGTCCCTGTAAAAAGTTCAAAGTGCAATAATTCCAAAATTTAGCAAGGCAGAGTTACTGTTCTTTGCACTGCACTTCTAATAAATGCGATCTATCAACCAACAAATTCTCTTGTTGATACCTCTTATGGTTTCGGAGTTATGTCCCAGACAAAGTTCAAAATGTAAAAATGAACAAAGGGCAATAACTACTAAACTTGGCATGGCGGATTTCAAATTCTTGTGCACTGCACATCTACCCATTTAGATCTATATACTTACAAAGTTTCATACTGATATCTCATGTAGTTTTAGAGTAATTTACCAGACAAAGTTCAAAAAGTAAAAATAAACAAAGGGCAATAACTCCAAAATTAGGAAGCGCACAGTTATGATTCTTGTGCACTGCACATCTACTCATTTAGATATATCTACCTACTAAGTTTGATGCCGATATCTCTTATAGTTTTACAGCTATGTCCTGGACAAAATTTTTTTAACAGGGGAGATAATTAAACAAGAGGGCCAAGATGGCCCTGAGGTCGCTCACCTGTATATAGCCCACCCCCCCCCTCCCCGGGCCAATTTTTACCCGAGGGCTTTTATTTGTTTATTTGAACAGACTTGGTAGGCACCCATAAGAAGATGTTTCATGCTAAACATCTAAGTTCCAGCTCATTGGGTTTTTTAAAAGAAGATTTTTTAAGTTTTTACTATACACATATAGTTAAAAACAATGACACCCCTGGGACAGTGCCAGTTTTGACCCCAGGGCTTTTATTTGAACAAACTTTGAATATATTTACTTAAAGATGTTTCATACTTAATACCTAAACTCTAGCTATTTGGGTTTTTTCAAAGAAGTTTTTGCTATACACATATAAGGAAAATCAATGACCCCCCGGGGCAGGGCCAGTTTTGACCCCATGGCTTTTATTTGCACAAACTTGGTAGACACCCATTCGAACATGTTCCATGCTAAATATCTTAGCTCTAGCTCTTTGAGTTCTTTAAAAGAAGATTTTTTAAGTGTTTACTATATGCATACAGGGAGAATCAATGACCCCCTGGGGCGGGGCCAATTTTGACCCCAGGGCTTTTATTTGAACAAACTTGGTAGACACTCATTAGAAGATGTTTCATGCTAAATATCTTAGCTCTAGCTCTTTGGGTTCTTTAAGAGAAGATTTTTTAAGTTTTTACTATATGCATATAGGGAAAATCAATGACCCCCTGGGGCAGGCCAATTTTGTCCACAGGGCTTTTATTTGAACAAACTTGGTAGACATTCACTAGAAAATGTTTCATGCCAAATATCTAAGCTCTAGTTCTTACGGTTCTTTAGAAAAAGATTTTTTAAGTTTTTACTATATGCAAATAGGGAAAATCAATGACCCCCTGGGCAGGGCCAATTTTGATCCCAAGGCTTTTATTTGAACAAACATGGAAGACACTCACTAGAAAATGTTTCATGCTTAATATCTTAGCTCTAGCTCTTTGGGTTCTTTAAAAAAAGATTTTTTAAGTTTTTACTATATGCATATAGGGAAAATCTATTACCCCCTGGGGCAGGGCCAATTTTGACCTCAGGGCTTTTATTTGAACAAACTTGGTAGACACTCATTAGAAGATATTTCATGCTAAATATCTAAGCTCTAGCTCTTTGGGTTCTTTAAAAGAAGATTTTTTAAGTTTTTACTATTTAGATTTTTCTTTTGGTTGTCATGGCAACCAGAGTTCTGCATGGAATTAAATTCTTTGAACAATTTTTAAAGGTGACCACCAAAGGAACATTCCTGTGAAGTTTGGATGAAATTGGCTCAGTGGTTTATGAGGAGATGTCATTTAAGGCAAAAGTTTACGGACAGACGGACGCCGGACGAAAAGCGATCACAAAAGCTCACCCTGTCACTTTGTGACAGGTGAGCTAAAAATGAGGCTTAACAGAGTTATGGTTCTTTTGCACTGCACTTCTATTCAATGAGATCTATCTACCTACAATGTTTCATGTTGATATCTCATATAGTTTTCGAGTTCTTTTCCAGACAAAGTTCTAAGTGCTAAAATTAAAAAGGGCAATCACTGCAAAATTAGGCAAAAAAGAGTTATGTTTCTTGTATACTGCACATCTACCCATTGAAATCTATCTACCTACAAAGTTTCATGTTGATTTCTCTTATAATTTAAGGGAATTGTCTTGAACAAGATTTTTCTAAAAGGGGAGATAATTAAAAAAAACTGGGCAAAATAAACTAAGTTATAATTCTTTGAAACTGCACTTCCTCTCAATGCCCTCTACCACTGTATAAAGTTTTAACAAATTATCTCCAATCTCCAATGGTTTTCAAGTTATGCTCTGGACAAGACAACGGACGGAAGTGCAACTTAAATGGACTTAAAGGGGCCATTTCTCTTGTTATTTTCTTTTGTTTAATAGAGGGCCATGGCCCCTTATTCTATTGTTACGGAATGAACTCTATTATTCTCTTTTGTTCTGTTTACAGTTTGATGGTCCCCTATTCCTCTTAAATAGCCCAGACAGACGGACAGATGGACGGTCGGATAGACGGACGAACGGATGGACAAGGTGGCGACTATATGCTCTCCCTTCGGGGAGCATAAAAATGGCAATGTTTCTGTCATATTGTTTCAGTTATGTGCTTTAACCTATAATCATACTCTCAAATTAGTGTGTGAGGTTTCAACCCATTCCCTCGAGAAGTTTTGAACTTTACCAAAGTATGCTGCCGGTGCTGTAATGCCTGATGAATATTCTTTGAATAGCCAATCTAAAAATGGGAAAGACGAACCAGACAAAGTAATTCAATCTGCCTAAATTAACAGCATGAACCAAAAGAGTTCAAGAAGTGAATCCATCATTCTTCCATAAACTAAACAGATATATAAATGTAATGAATGAGCATTAAACAATTTTAATATTTGATTACAAAATCCTCAAAATAGTTAATATAAAGTGACATTTTGCCCAACAAATAATGAAATTGTAAATGGCCAGTCAAAATCAATTTACAATGTGCTTAACTTGTGTTAAATCTTCTATTTTAATATGAAAAAAAAATAACAATCCATGTGACCCACAGAAATTTTTATAATACCATAAGTATTGCGATGGTAACATTCAATTTTTAAAAAAAGAGTGTGTCAGTATTTTAAATAATTTAGATGATTTACATTTTTCAAGATCAATTTGTAGTCCATTACCATTATAACAGTCAATCATTTTAAAATATGTAAATTATTCAGCTCTACTTTATAGAAAACAAGGACAATAATGTCACAATATACACCTGTCACAGAAGCTTTTGACAGAAATGTGGGCATTACAGATATATATATAGGAGATATGCTCTAAAATATCTGGATATATTTTCATCTCTAAAGATTCTTTCATATGAACTTTAACCCCAATTTGTGACCTTGGCCTTGACCACAGGGACCTAAATTTGGCGTGCAACACTCTGCCTCACAATAGTAAACATTTGTGCCAAGTTATATTAAATCCCTCATGCATGTAGAAGTTTTGCTCCAGACAAACATTTTTCAATGACCTCTAAGTACGACCTTGACCTTTGACCTAGAGGCCTGTTTCATGCAGGCGACAAGGATTCTCATAATGGTGAACATTTCTATGAAGTTTCATTAAAATTCCTCCAGTGGTGTAGGAGATATGCTCCAGACAAAAACTGAACGCCGCCCGCAAAGGGAGAAACTATAAAATGACCAGTTTTTCAAACTGGCATATAAAAATAGGCAAAATTAAGCATAATGTAAGTTAAAAGAAGTTAATTACCATAAAATAAGGTTTATAGTCACTCCAACAGGGTCCAACAGCATGAATTACATATTTATAAGACATCATTCCAGCACCAGTACTGCAAGCCTCTCCAACTCGTAATTTCCCATGTTGCTTCAAATAATCGCGACCCTCTTTTGTGAGATCTTTTCCAGCGGCATCTGCTATGGCTCTTGCTATTCCTCCGCCATGTCTTAAATCTTTATTAGCAGCATTTACAATGCAGTCAACAGGCACAAATAAAATATCTGAAGAGTAGACTTTTACTGTTATTTTCTCTTTTGTTCCATAAACGCGTAATTCTTTTGCACGTGTTGACCATGAAAACTGTTTGCTGAATCCAGTTGTCTTTATGTTGGAGCCTGTATCTTTTGTATCCTTTGGGCTGTTCTGTTCTGAATTACCTCTAGGGGGAAGAAGTAAACTGACAATTTTATCTTTTGCATCTTTTACATCTTGCCATAGTTTTCCAAAGAAACTCACCGATGTTCCATTGTTACTGACACTACACTTTACCTTTGAATTTTTTTCTATTTCTTTAACTTTTTTCCTCACATCATCCTGGCTGAACTTCCCCTGAGTAAGGTCAAGTAAGTCATAAGTTGGATATTCTTTCTGCATATTCATTAAAGCATCAGAGATCTCAGATTTTCCTATGGCACATACCTCTGATGTAAACTTAATAATAAGTTCATCTTTTGTGAATGAAACATCACAATCAGATTTTTTAAGCCTGCCTATTACATCAGCACAACACATCTCAATGAATTCTATTGTATATCCTTTTGGTAAGGGGAACCTGCACTCTACTTTAGGTGATCCAACTTGAGAACCTGGGTTTGGAATGTTAAAATGTGATGTTCGTATTGAGCCTGAATGACGTATTTCATTGGATGAAACTGTAACTGAAATATATTAAATGTAATAAATAATAACATACATAGAACATTCTTTTTAAGGAATATTTAGTGGTGGCAAATCAAAACAAATGTTTCAAAATATATTTTGGACGCTTAAAAAGTTTAATATTGAATAATGTTTAAAGAATAAAATAGGCCTGAGTGATAAATTGCAAATCATTTGAACAATAAACCAAGCATTATTATAGTACAATGTAAGAAAAATTAATATGTATTACCTCTATAACATTCTCATAAAAAAAGAGAACTGATAAAAATATGCTGAACTACAAAGAGCGTAAAAGTAATTTTCCCGATGTCATTTGGTTTATTGACATCATAGTAATTTTGACGTCATATAACGCGTAAACATTTGTCTTTAATGTGCCGTGCTTATATTGTGTAATAATGCACTTAACAGTCCAATCTGTTTGATAGGGGAAAAATCATGAGGCTTGTTAGTATAAACAATTGAACATACCATATTTCTTCAATGCTCGCTCAAATTCCTGAAAAAAGTGAAATAGTCACTAAAGTAATTAGGTGTTTCATTAATCAATTATGGTGCTAAATATCATAGAACAAACTTATTTAGTAGAAATTGCGGACAAAATAATTTATCATTGACACTCTTTCCTAAATCTTTTCATGTTTTGTTTTGTTCTTTAAAAGTGGATGGTGGACGGGCACAATGAAATGGAATGCAAAATAAGAGGACATCATAACAAATGCAAATTTTAGGCAATTTTTTTACAACACTTTAATTTGTCATTTTGTTGTATTGTCTCTTACTGCAACAGGTTATGCAAACTTAACTTATAATAGCTTACCCTTTAAAACAAAACTTTGTTCTCTACAGTAATAAGCAACATAACAGCAATTGTCTTAAGAAATAACAGTTAACAAAAACAAGAGCCAGTTGAACCTGGTGATGTTCCCCGACTAGGTTTTGGACACAGAAAAGTATATCTTTTGTAGTTTCAAAGTTATGTCCAAGACAAAGTTCAAAGTGTGATAATTACAAACTTAGGCAAGGCAGGGTTAGTGTTCTTTGCACTGTACTTCTACTCAATGAGATCTATCTACGGACTTTCGCGCTACACATCGTCTCAATTTGGTGATCATTTCAAATAACAAAGTTAGTGACCAGAAACAATTTTGCTGCAAGGTCATGCTGTGACCTTGACCTTCAAGGAAGCGACCCAAATGTTGCATGTGACACATCGTCTCAATATGGTGATCATTTCTGTGAAATAGTTGTAAAATCTGACTTCAAATAATGAAGTTATGGGCTGGACACAATTTTCACAATTATCATTTCAAATAACAAAGTTATGGACCAGAAACAATTTTGCTGCAAGGTCATGCTGTGACCTTGACCTTCAAGGAAGCGACCCAAATGTTGCATGTGACACATCGTCTCAATATGGTGATCATTTCTGTGAAATAGTTGTAAAATCTGACTTCAAATAATGAAGTTATGGGCTGGACACAATTTTTCTGCAAAGTCATGCTGTGACCTTGACCTTCAAGGTAGCGACCCAAATGTTGCGCACAAAATGTTGTCTTAACATGGTGATCATTTCTGTGAAATAGTTGTAAAACCCAACTTCAAATAACGAAGTTATGGGCCGAACACAATTTTGCTGCAAGGTCATGCTGTGACCTTATCCTTCAAGGCAGCGACCAAAATGTTGCATGTGACACATCGTCTCAATATGGTGATCATTTCTGTGAAATAGTTTTAAAATCCAACTTCAAATAACGAAGTTATGGGCCCGACACGATTTTGCTGCAAGGTCATGCTGTGACCTAATGACCTTCAAGGTAACGACCAAAATGTTGGCGCGACACGTCGTCTCAATAATTATGGTGATCATTTCTGTGAAATAGTTGTAAAATCCAACTTCAAATTAATAATGAAGTTATGGGCCAGACATAATTTTGCTGCAAGGTCATGCTGTGACCAAGGTCATGCTGTGACCTTGACCTTCAAGGTAGTGACCCAAATGTTGCGCGTCGTCTCAATATGGTTATCATTTCTGTGAAATAGTTGTAAAATCTGACTTCAAACAAGAGGGCCATGATGGCCCTGAAGTAGCTCACCTGTATATAGGCCCTTGGAGAGGGGCCAGTTTAAACCCCAGGGCTTTTATTTGAACAAACTTGGTAGACACCCATTAGAAAATGTTTCATGCTTAACATCTTAAGGTCTAGCTGGTCAAGTTTTTTTCTTTACACATATAGTTAAAAACAATGACACGCCTTGGGTGGGGCCAATTTTGACCACAAGGGCTCTTATTTGAACAAACTTGGAAGACATCCATTAGACTATATTTCATGCTAAATATCTTAGCTCTAGCTCTTTGGGTTCTTTAAAAGAAGATTTTTTAAGTTTTTACTATATGCATATAGGGAAAATCAATGACCCCCTGGGGCGGGGCCAATTTTGACCCAAGGGCTTTTATTTGAACAAACTTTGTAGACACTCACTAGAAGATGCTTCATGCTTAATATCTAAACTCTAGCTATTTGAGTTTTTTCAAAAAAGATTTTTTAAGTTTTTGTTATACACATATAAGGAAAATGAATGACCCCCAGGGCGGGGCCAATTTTGACCCCAGGGCTTTTATTTGAACAAACTTGGTAGACACTCACTAGAAGATGTTTCATGCTTAGTATCTAAACTCTAGCTATTTGGTTTTTTTCAAAGAAGATTTTAAGTTTTTGCTATACACATATAAGGAAAATCAATGACCCCTAGGCGGTGCCAATTTTGACCCAAGGGCTCTTATTTGAACAAACTTGGTAGACACCCATTAGAAGATGTTTCATGCTAAATATCTTAGCTCTAGCTATTTGGGTTCTTTAAAAGAAGATTTTTTAAGTTTTTACTATATGCATATAGGGAAAATCAATGACCCTCTGTTAAACAAATGAAAATAAGAATAGAAATGGCCCCTTATTCCAATTCAGCTGGACGTATGACAGTCCATAGTTTGTCCCGAATTCATGTCTGACCCATGACTTCATTATTTGAAGTCGGATTTTAAAGCTATTTCACAGAAATGATCACCATATTGAGACGTAGTGTTGCGCGCAAATTTGGGTAACTACCTTGAAGGTCAAGGTCACAGCATGTAGGGTTGGATATCGTTCTTCACGAAACGGTCCGATACCGATACTGACGAAACGATACGGGTATTTTATCGATACTGATACTTTTACAATACCAAACCCGTTGCTGCAAGTATAAGAACTGAAGAGATATAACATGTAGTAATAGAAAATAAATATGTTACATGACTGGTCTTTCTGAAATTTCATGCTGTAAAGTTTAATTTTCTTTTGTTGTTTTGTGTTTACTCTTTTTTACAACATTTACACATGTTAATTGTAAAATACTTTTACTTTTTCATCAAAAGGACATGACATAATTTAAACACAGCAAAATATCTTATGCAGGAAAGCAGTCTGCAGCTACAAATTATTGTTTTAATCTTGATATCTCTACATCTGAAAGAATTTAAGACAGTTGGTTATCTATTATTTTCTTACAGCTATTATTTTCACTGTGTAGAAATTTTATTCTGATGCTGATATTCTTTTAAAATCACATTATTGTTTACTGTAATAAATGAAATCACTGGATTGGTTGGCTTACTTTGCAATTTGGAATTACATGTAAGAAATTTCATTAGATGTCACTTATGTTTCCAGTCTGTTCTACTACAACAGCACAAACATATTTTCCACCAGTAATTAACTTAGAAATTTTGAAATACATACGTATATGCACAGTCAGCACAGACTGTTTCCAAAATGACTTGTTTACATTTTCATGTTAACCTAATTAATATTAGTCCTTGTAGAAGTCATAAAGCAAATACCTATGCTTTACAAATAATAAGGATTTGGTATTTATTAATATTGAATTTACCCTTCAATTTTATACATCTTTTATTTTTCAATAGCATGCACCGTGAACATCTTGCTACAGAAAAAAAGTATTGTCCTTACCAAATTGCATAATTCCATACTGCTCAAATACGCAAATACGCAAAAATACTAGCCAACATTTGCAAAAAATCCTACAAAACACTATATGAAATATGTTTCAGTTGTTTAAAGTATCACAGATCTAAATGTGTAATACACACTAGTTGACCTTCTACACACAAGTTGATACTTTAAACAACTGAAACATATTTCATATAGTGTTTTGTAGGATTTTTTGCAAATGTTCACTGTGCATGCTATTGAAAAATAAAAGATGTATAAAATTGAAGGGTAAATTCAATATTAATAAATACCAAATCCTTATTATTTGTAAAGCATAGGTATTTGCTTTATGACGTCTACAAGGACTAATATTAATTAGGTTAACATGAAAATGTAAACAAGTCATTTTGGAAACAGTCTGTGCTGACTGTGCATATACGTATGTATTTCAAAATTTCTAAGTTAATTACTGGTGGAAAATATGTTTGTGCTGTTGTAGTAGAACAGACTGGAAACATAAGTGACATCTAATGAAATTTCTTACATGTAATTCCAAATTGCAAAGTAAGCCAACCAATCCAGTGATTTCATTTATTACAGTAAACAATAATGTGATTTTAAAAGAATATCAGCATCAGAATAAATTTCTACACAGTGAAAATAATAGCTGTAAGAAAATAATAGATAACCACTGTCTTAAATTCTTTCAGATGTAGAGATATCAAGATTAAAACAATAATTTGTAGCTGCAGACTGCTTTCCTGCATAAGATATTTTGCTGTGTTTAAATTATGTCATGTCCTTTTGATGAAAAAGTAAAAGTATTTTACAATTAACATGTGTAAATGTTGTAAAAAAGAGTAAACACAAAACAACAAAAAAAATTAAACTTTACAGCATGAAATTTCAGAAAGACCAGTCATGTAACATATTTATTTTCTATTACTACATGTTATATCTCTTCAGTTCTTATACTTGCAGCAACGGGTTTGGTATTGTAAAAGTATCAGTATCGATAAAATACCCGTATCGTTTCGTCAGTATCGGTATCGGACCGTTTCGTGAAGAACGATATCCAACCCTACATGCTGTGACCTTGACCTTCAAGGTAGTTACCCAAATTTGCGCGCAACACTACGTCTCAATATGGTGATCATTTCTGTGAAATAGCTTTAAAATCCGACTTCAAATAATGAAGTCATGGGTCAGACATGAATTCGGGACAAACTATGGACTGTCATACGTCCAGCTGAATTGGAATAAGGGGCCATTTCTATTCTTATTTTCATTTGTTTAACAGAGGGTTAATGGCCCCTTACTCTATTGTTACGGAATAAACTCTACTGGGATCCTACACATTACCGGACAAAATATGATGTTTTTTATCTGTAACTTTTATTTCAAATAATAAAAATGAATGGAATTTTACCCAAATAATTTTGGGTTCTTAATGCACGTAAACATTCTTTCATCAAACATAAACATAAACATTTGACTGTAGAAATGTGTCTTTAAAGTAGGCCATTATAAGAGGAAAAAAATCGTGCATACAACTCAATTTACCGGACATTGTGTTTCAAACATTTTTGAAGTCGTGAATTAAAATTAATCTTTAAATAATCAGCAAGGAAACTAAGACTATTGAATGACAAGGTTAAGATAATTTGAAAACCCAGTAGTCACTAGAAATAGACACGGCAGCCAATATATGGTGTAATTGAAATTAACACTATTAAATCAATTAACATATTGATTCTTCATGATCCTTAAACGTATGAAACATTTTAATATTCAAATGGAATTCTGTTCTTTGTCATACAGTTTCCTTTTGGTCATCATGTAGCATGTTACAAAAGCCATTAAATTGGTTTTATTTACATTTCATGTAGAGTTTCCTCCCATGGGTGTAACCCGTTTCCTTATATGTTTTTTAATTTACACTTCTTTGTAAAAGACAACAACGAGATACTGTTAAGATTAAATTTAACATTACTTTTTACCATTAAAATATGTTAAGATTGTCTCTTGAGGTAACGTTGAAAAAAAATAACAGTAAAACCATGAAATAACTACATGTAGTAAACAAAAGGGCATGTAAGTAGATAAAGAACTGAATCAACAATATTTACCTGAGAGTGGTTTTGATGCTATTTACTTAGAAATAGAAAGTGTGTGTACGATTTCGACTGTATGATTTTTTAATCGAAGCAAAAAATAAAGCACTATTTAGCAGTAATAGCTTTTGTCCGGTAAACTGATTGTCCGGTAAATATATAGGATCCCAGTATTGTTCTCTTTTGTTTTGTTTACAGTTAGATGGTCCTCTAACCTATTCGTTAGTGCTGACAGACTGACGGACGGACGGACAGATGGACGGATGTTCCTACGAATAGACATTTATTGGGTACTTCTTTTGTTTAAAAGTACCCAATAAGAGAACAAATGTACCTAACAACACTGACGGAATGAATAGAATTAAACAACAAGTGTCCTCTTGTGTACCGGAGGTACCCAACAAGTGTCCTCTCGTGCGCCATACCCGGCAACTATAATTATGCTCCTATGAAATTTTTCGGGGAGCATAAAAACAAAGTCCTAATATTAAGTTGTACTATTCTTTGATGAGGCATCAGGAGGAATCAAATGAATAAAACTTTCAGACAGAATCAAATTATACGTAAATGTGTATCAATGATCTTGGAAAAGTATTGTTTGACATGGATTTAGTCTTAGTAATGCACATTAATTAATATGTGAAAATTGCTTGTATGTAATGGGTAGCTATGGGGTATGAAGACTCATCATGTGTATAACTTAATATTATTCCAAAACTTAACTTCATCCCAACACTTGCTGAATAAATTAGATATTGTTTTCACTTAATGTTATAAGAAAACATCATACCACTGAATTTATTAAAGTTTTCTTTTTTATTAGTGAGACACTGGGTTTTATGCATATTTGCATTTTTGTCTAAATGGCATACTTTTCTATCCAAATATCACTATTTCACTAGAATTGTTAACAGTTACTTCGAATTACTGAATACAAACTCAAATAACTTTTGCTTTTGCAGTATTATTTGTTGTTTTGATGACATTTGCAGTGCTTACTACACTTATAAAGCATAAAATAAAAAGATAATTTTTTTGCTTATTGTAAACATGCTATACTGTATATATAACACAATGAAGTGAGAAAATTTCAATATTTTTAGGATTTTCTCACTTCTCAGTGTGATAAAAATATATCATATTTACTCAAAACAAATATCCTCTATATATTGCTCTCAGACTTCATGCATACATGTTTACAAAATATGTTTCTCATGTTTTGACTAAATGTCTTTTTAAAATATTATCATATACATGTATACTAACCTGTAAAACTACTATGTCCTTTGGATATATTACAAATCTGACTTCTTTAACAAAGGTTCCCTGCCAGTCATCAATTGTCCTAAACATTTCATCAGCTACAATACGTAAGGGATAGCTTAAAATTCCTGCTCCAATAGCAGGGAAGGCGATAGATCGTAACTGCCTCTTCTCAGCCAGATTCAGACATCTCTGTACAAAGTCATGAATGCTCTGTCAAAGGAAACAACAATAAATAAAGTCTGCTGAATATGTGAAAATCTGCATGGGTTCAGCTTTGATGTTAAGTGTTTATGGGATGTTTAAACATTCATTCTCCCCCGAGTCATTCTACATTTCTTCTGAAAAATGTGGCTCAATTTATGACTTCTGTTGCTATGTTTTTCCCCAATGATAAACTTAAGATTATTTTGTGAGTCTGGGTGGTTTTTAAATATGTTAAGTCTGCATATGCTGAATATGCCTTATACTTAAGCTAAAATTGCTTTCTTAAGCATACTTTACCATTTACATTAAATTAGCAATATATCTGGGTGTTCTGCTTAAAGACAACAAGAGGGACATGATGGCCATGAGTCGCTCACCAGAAACAACTGCTTTTCAGTGTTGAAAATTATCAATTGTTAATATTTTCTAATATTAAATTTGAGCATAGAATATGTTTAAACAATAATTTGAAGAAATGCCATCACCTGGAGCATTTAAGCTTTAGCAGCCCGTAAAAGGGGCCAATCAAATTAATATGGGCAAACTTGATAAAAGACTACCCAAGAATGCTACAGACAAAGTTTGGTGATCATCTATAAATTAGTTCTGTAGAAAGAGATGTTTAAAGCAGTAATTTTTTTTCTAATTTTCAAAACAACCTGTGGCTTTCTGAAGCGGAAAATATAGCGTGATAAATCAGAAAAGGGGGAAAACCTGAAATTAAATTCCAACAACTGAAAATGGAATTTACCCACACATTTTACAGTTTAAGAGTTTTATGAAAACAAGAGCGATCAGTAATCACATGTGTCGCCTCATGATGGCCAATTTTATGTTGGGACAAGTTTTGTGACAGACAGACAGACGGACAGTGCACAACTAGACTTGGTACTGATCATTCCTGTAAAGTTTGGATAAAATTGCACCAGTAGTTTATGAGGAGTAGTCTGGTCAAGCTTTTGTGTATCTGGCAATACACAGAAAAAAACACCTTTTTATCAAAGGGCCATAACTCGACCAAAAATCATTCAACCGGAAAACCCGTGCAATATGCGCAAGGACTTGAGCTACAAATCAATCCTGTAAAGTTTCATTGAAATTGCATTAGCGGTATAAGAGAAGTAGTCCGGACAAACTTTAAAAATAAAAATTATTAAAGGGCCATAACTCTGACAAAAATCATTGAACCGGAAAATGCTGACAATATGCACAACTAGACTTGGTACTGATCATTCCTGTAAAGTTTGGATGAAATTGCACCAGTAGTTTTTGAGGAGTAGTCCGGACAAGCTTTTGTGTATCTGGCAACACACAGAAAAAAACACCTTTTTATCAAAGGGCCATAACTCGGCCAAAAATCATTCAGCCAGAAAACCCGTGCAATATGCGCAAGGACTTGAGCTACAGATCAATCCTGTAAAGTTTCATTGAAATTGCATTAGTGGTATAAGAGAAGTAGTCCGGACAAACTTTAAAAATAAAAATTATTAAAGGGCCATAACTCTGAAAAAATCATTGAACCGGAAAATGCTGACAATATGCACAACTAGACTTGGTACTGATCATTCCTGTAAAGTTTGGATGAAATTGCACCAGTAGTTTATGAGGAGTAGTCCGGACAAGTTTTGTGACGGACAGACGGACGTACCAATTTTTCAGGTTTATGAGCTATTTCTATTGTTCTTTTCTTTTGTTTCCTTGTGGGCTAACTATTGTTTTTTTATGAGCTAACAATTATTTACGGAATGAAGTCCTTTGTTCTCTTTTGTTCCAGTGTACCGTTAGTTAGCTCATATACCTAAAATGTTTGTGCGGACGGACAGACGGACGGACGGACGGACGGACAGACGAAGGAGAAGTGATCCCTATATGTCGCCACTACTCCGTAGAGGCGACACAAAAATTAATATCAATTGAATTTAACATGCATGGTACATAGCAGAGGCTATCTATAGGGATAGCTTTATGTCTTGCTAATACAAGTCAGACGCTGTTAAGAATGCTACAGACAAAGTTTGGTGATCATCCATCAATTAGTTCTGTAGAAAAAGACATTTAAAGGTGTTTCTATTTTTAGCCTTAGTAGTCCCCTTAAAGGGGCCAATCAAATTAATATGAGCAAACTTAATAAAAGCTACCCAAGAATGCTACAGACAAAGTTTGGTGATCGGATGATCCATCAATTAGTTCTGTAGAAGATGTTTAAAAGTTTTTCTATTCTTACCTCTAGAGACCCCTAAAAGGGGCCAATGAAATTATATTAGCAAACTTGATAAAAGACTACTAAGAATTCTACAAAGTTTGGTGATCATCCATTAATTAGTTCTGTAGAAGAAGATGTCTAAAGATTTTCTATTTTTAGCTCTAGAGACCCCTTTAAGGGGCCATTTAAATAAATATTAGCAAATGTGAGAAAAGACTACCCAAGAATGCTACAGACAAAGTTTGGTGATCATTTATCAATTAGCTCTATAGAAATAGATGTTTAAATGTATTTCTATTTTTAGCTTTAGCATTTTGGGGCCAATCAAATTAATATGAGCAAACTTGATAAAAGACTAACCAAAAAGCTACAGACAAAGTTTGGTGATCATCCATCAATTAGTTCTGTAGAAGAAGATATTGAAAGGTTTTTCTATTTTTAGCCCTTAAGAGACCCCTAAAAGGGGCCAATCAAATTAATATAAGCAAACATGATAAAAGATTACCCAAGAATGCTACAGACAAAGTTAGGTGATCATTCACCAATCAGTTCTGTAGTAGAAGATGTTTAAAGGATTTTCTATTTTTAGCTCTGTTGACCCCTAAAAGGGGTCTATTGAAATGACATGTGACTGTCACAAGGATGCTACAGACCAAATTTGAAGTAAATCTGCCCAGAGTTTCAGAGAAGAAGACGATTGCTGACGTATGACGACTGACGATGGACGCAGGAGCATCCCCCTTTCATACTAATAGCTCACCCTGAACCTTCGGTTCTGGTGAGCTAAAAAGTTCCATCATATAAAATCAAGACAAATTAACCATAAATAAGAGAACCTTTCAAAATTTGTTAAAGAAATTACAAGGTGGGAATTGAGGCCAACATGCATTACCATATTTTAAGGGAAAAGTTTTTATAATTTCTGAGAAATTGTGCATGCGGGTCAAAGTGCTATATGAATTTTTTGAGATTTTTTTTTTTTTTCAATTTTAGCTTGTGTTGTTTCAAGATAACACCAAAAATGTTTTTTACTTCATCTATTTACTTTATAAACTACAATAATTGTATGAGTACTTCTGTTCAAATGCTCACCTACGTTTAAACATTCCCTAACATTACAATTCTTAGCACAATTCGTACACTATTGTACTGCAGCTTACTGGTAAATGATTGTTGCAGCATTTTAATATATATAAAACAATATAAAGGAATAGTAATAAATCATAAGTTAATCTTATATTAACAAGAGCCATGTCAACATGGCCATCCCTCGTCGAATGTGTTTGCTCATTAAAAGAATATATATGTAGTAGAGCAGAATAATTCAATTTTAAGAGGTCTTTTGGTAATGAAAACTGATGGCTGAAGTGATTACAGATTTGAAATCTATGTGAATACTGATGGATGAAAATAACAAAGGGCAATAACTGAAAAATAATGCAGGGAAAGTTATCATTCTTGTGTGCTGCACTCCTCCTTAATGAGATCTATCCACCTATGACGTTTCAAACTGATATATCAAAGGCTTTTATAGTTATGCTCTGGACAAAAATTAAGCATGAAAAATAACAAAGGGCAATAACTGAACAAGAGGGCCATGATGGCCCTGGGGTCGCTCACCTGTACATAGGCCCCCAGGGCGGGGCTAGTTTAAACCCAAGGGCTTTTATTTGAACAAACTTGGAAGACACCCATTAGAAGATGTTTCATGATGTTAAGTTTTTACTATACACAAATAATGAAAAACAATGACTTTTGCCCCCCTCCCCCTGGCAGGGCCAATTTAACCCAAGGGCTTTTATTTGAACAAACTTGGTAGACACCCATTATAACATGTTTCATGCTAAATATCTTAGCTCTAGCTCTTTGGGTTCTTTAAAAGAAGATTTTTAAGTTTTTAATTACTATATGCAATATAGGGAAAATCAATGACCCCCTAGGGCGGGGCCAATTTTGACCCAAGGGCTTTTATTTGAACAAACTTGGTAAACATCCATTAGAACATGTTTCATGCTAAATATCTTAGATCTAGCTCTTTGGGTTCTTTAAAAGAAGATTTTTAAGTTTTTACTGAAAATCAATGACCCCTGGGGCGGTGCCAGTTTTGACCCCAGGGCTTTTATTTGAACAAATTTGGTAGATACCCATTAGAAGATGTGTCATGCTAAATATCTTAGCTCTAGCTCTTTGGGTTCTTTAACAGAAGATTTTTAAGTTTTTACTATATGCATATAGGGAAAATCAAAGACCCCCTGTGGCGGATCCAATTTGACCCCAGGGCCTTTATGTAGACACTGATTAGAAGATGTTTCATGCCAAATATCTTAGCTCTAGCTCTTTGGGTTCTTTAAGAGAATTTTTTTTTAAGTTTTTACTATATGCATTTAGGGAAAATCAATGACCCCCTGGGGCGGGGCCAATTTTGACCCTAGGACTTTTATTTGAACAATCTTGGTAGACATCCATTAGAACATGTTTCATGCCAAATATCTAAGCCCTTGCTCTTTGGGTTTTTTAGAAGAAGATTTTTTAAGTTTTTACTATATGCATATAGGGAAAATCAATGACCCCCTGGGGCGAAGCCAATTTTGACCCAAGGACTTTTATTTGAACAATCTTGGTAGACACTCATTAGAAGATATTTCATGCTTAATATCTTAGCTCTAGCTCTTTGTGTTCTTTAAAAGCAGATTTTTTTAAGTTTTTACTATATGCATATAGGGAAAATTAATGACCCCCTGGGGCGGGGCCAATTTTGACCCCAGGGCTTTCATTTGAACAATCTTGGTAGACACTCACTAGA